TGGAAAAGACAGGATGCTGCAGAGCAGAGTAGTTTCTGAATAGAATAGATTTCTGGAAAAGACAGGATGCTGCAGCCTGCAGAGCAGTTCCTGGATATAATTGATTTGTGAAAAAGACAGGATGCTGCAGAGCAGAGCAGATCCCGGATAGAATAGATTTCTGGAAAAGACAGGGTGCTGCAGAGCAGAGCAGTTCCTGTATAGAATAGATTCCTGGAAAAGACAGGATGCTGCAGAGCAGAGCAGTTCCTGAATAGAATGGATTTATGAAAAAGACAGGATGCTGCAGAGCAGAGCAGTTCCTGGATAGAATAGATTCTGGAAAAGACAGGATGCTGCAGAGCATAGCAGTTCCTGGATAGAATGGATTCTGGAAAAGACAGGATGCTTCAGAGCAAAGCAGTTCCTGGATAGAATAGATTTATGAAAAAGACAGGATGCTGCAGAGCAGAGCAGATCTTAGATAGAACAGATTTATGAAAAAGACGGGATGCTGCAGAACAGAGCAGATCCTGGATAGAATAGATTTATGAAAAAGACAGGATTCTGCAGAGCAGAGCAGTTCCTGGATAGAATAGATTTCTGGAAAAGACGGGATGCTGCAGAGCAAAGCAGTTCCTGGATAGAATAGATTTCTGGAAAAGACAGGATGCTGCAGAGCAAAGCAGTTCCTGGATAGAATGGATTCTGGAAAAGACAGGGTGCTGCAGAGCAGAGCAGTTCTTGGATAGAATATATTTCTGGAAAAGACGGGATGCTGCAGAGCAAAGCAGTTCCTAGATAGAATGGATTCTGGAAAAGACAGGGTGCTGCAGAGCAGAGCAGTTCCTGGATAGAATAGATTTATGAAAAAGACAGGATGCTGCAGAGCAGAGAAGATCCTGGATAGTCTAGATTTCTGGAAAAGACGGGATGCTGTAGAGCAGAGCAGTTCCTGGATATTATATATTTCTGGAAAAAGCAGAATGCTGCAGAACAGAGCAGTTCCTGGATATTTAAGAAATTTAAGAACCCGCTTAGATTAAACTTTATGATAGAAAGATAGATGAAAAAAAAATTCTGACTTTTTTAATAAAGAACTTTTAAAAAATCGAACTTTTGAATATATGAGTTTAACTACTATCCCATATCGTGATTTCTTATTCCTTTAAAAAACTGGTTTTTGGTTTGCAACAATTTTCATTAAATCCCACTAATCTAAAAAAATACCTGTTTTATGATGTTAAAACGGCGTCAAACCTTATAGAAATCCAACGTATGGACCCGCTACGTATAGCAACATGGCGTATTTTCCGGGAGAACATTTTTTATATTTTTGAAAAATTAAACGTTTTTGTAAAATATTGTAGCTTATCATTATCATTATCATAATTTATATTTTTTTAACATAACCTAGACATTAATGGAGCAAAATAGTTTAATACGTACATTTTAGCTAGGTTTGGAAAAAATTCTTAAACGTATAAAAAAGTTCTCCAGTAATGCTAATATGATTTCATAAAATTTCGTTTTACCATTTAAATAAAAGGATTTTATGAAAATTATATTTACTATACACTGATAATTTAATTTTTCAAAATATAAAAAATGTTCTCCCGGAATATACGTCATGTTGCTATACGTAGCGGGTCCATACGTTGGATTTCTATAAGGTTAGACGCCGTTAAAACCAACTTTTGTCCAATCTCTTGACTTCTGAGATATGATTTGCTAGAGAAGAGCTAGAGTTAGAGTTAGGAAACATAGAGATTAACTCTAAAAAAATGATGTAGTTTTGTTTATCTAAAATACCTAGTTCGGACACAATATATATGGACAAGGTTCCTTCGGTTTGAGGGAAAGCAAAATTAATCATGATAATTGTTATGTTTAGGGTGAAAATATTAACATTTACTATTCGCCCTCATAAAATATAATAGTAAAACATCATCCTACGAATTTGTTTAATAGTAAATTTCATAGTTTGCTAATCTTCAATATCAATCAGAAATTGTATTTAGCATTGCAAACCATCTCTTTAACCAGATTTTTATCCATATTTGCATAATCCGCAAACCATCTCTTTGACAAGATTTTTATCCATATTTGCATAATCCGCAAACCATCTCTTTGACCAGATTTTTATCCATATTTGCATAATCCACTAACTATCTCTTTAACCAAAATACCCTCCTTTCAACCCCCAACACCTCCCCGATATTTCCTTCCTGTTAATGTTGCATTTCCTTAAATCTCTAAATTCTTGAAATTACTGAAATTTTTGTTCATTGAATGCTTACACATCCTCTTTCATCGGCTAAATGATGAATTAATGAGTTGTATTGTATCTGTACAACTTACACTATACAGTTTATAGTGTGCAGTTACACTATACATTTTACAATGTACAGTCTATAGTGTACAGTTTGCAATGTACAGTTTGAACCGTTAGTTGAGTGTACAATAATTGACTTAATTAATTGTTTACTTGTGGCTCTCTCTGTAGAATGTACAACTTGAAAGTAGGAAATTCATTTCTAATACCTTTTTACTTTTTCCCTGATTTGAGCATTTCACATATTTTCAAAGAAAGGGTTTTTGCTTTTTGCTTTCCACCCTCTGAAATTTCCACATGGAAATCCATTTTGATGAAGTTTATGGTTAAATAATTCAGTATACCGTATACCGCAAGCGGAAAAAAATCAACAGATCAGTAGTGAAACACTGAATTAAGTAATTTTAAAATCGTAAAAGTGTGTTGATAGCTAAACATATTATTAGAGTTGAAAACATCAGTTGTTGGCATAGATCAAACGATTTTGAAGATATCAAAGCAAGTACAAATGGAATATTGATAATATTATCCGTTTCCAGTATAAATTTGATCTTTTAGAAGTGATTGTGACTTTTTAGATCTTAAAAATGCTAAATATCAAGTCAACGTTTTAAGACCTGTTAACCTGAAAAACTCTTGTTTTTATGGGCACATGACCTCCGATGTGGAGGGTGTCAAATAAAAAAGATCAAATTGTTTTGAATCTATTGAATAATAAGCTCTTATTCCTTAAATATTACATTCAACAAAATGTCTATTTTGTTGTATTGCTCTGTTCTTTTACCAAGGATCGAACCAATATCTATGATTCCGACCCAACTATATTGAAGAAAGCTACTCACCTAAATATTAACGTACAGTTTAATTATTTATTTTCCTAAGCTCTATTAATCAAAGTGTGTATAGAGGGTAGAACTTAAAGGTCAACAACACCAATAATAACACATCAAATACTATTTGTAATAAAAACATTTTTATATTGTTTTGACTGGATTCAGCCGTACTAAGAAATTTAAGTTTTTCATGGTGTAAGGTCTTAATAATTTTGGGATCACACAGAAAAAAATAATAAAATACTCTGAAAACAGATATAAGTGAGATAAATTTTTTTAAATTTATATTTCTATATTAGGTTGAAAAGATACATTATCAAGAATCAAAGAAATGTCCATATTTTCCATGATTTGAAATTAATTACTTTCAATCGTCGTTTCTCTATAAAAGGGACTCGCGAATTTTCGATCGTGGTTTCTTTATAGAAACAATGGAGAAAATTGTCAAAATTATACACTTTTTAACTAGACAAACGATGATATTTTTTACCAGGCTAAGATTTGAAGCGAAACAGGTTCTGAATCGGGCATAACACACTTTAGATAGAAGCTTCTAGAAATTACCACCGCAGTCACTTTCAGATGAAAAAATTAAGATTGAAAATCCTGAGAAGATGAGATATGAGAATAGTAATACTTAGAAAATTAACAATATTACCATTCCAGGTTATATAGAAAACACTTTGAAGTTTAGAGCCTTAGGGACCTTTGGAGGGAGGATCAGGGAAGGGAGGGGAGGGAGGGGAAAGGAAGGGGAGAGGAAGGGGAGGGGGAGGAGGAAGGAGGGGAAGATGGAAAGAGGATGAACTGAAATGTTGAATTCCCTTATGAATGAGTAGAATGTTACTAGTCAGCCAAGATAATTATTTTCTACAACAATAAGAGGAGAAAAAAGAAATTAGAAGAAAGATTTTTTTCTTCAGAATCTTGGACAGGAACTCATAAAGATATAGCAGGAAGGATTTTTGTTACAGAAAAACAAGTAAAGTACATTAAAAGTCATGATTTAAATCTTTTTTTTTGTGATTTTCTTAAATCCCTAAGATCGATCCTTCCCACTCCGACTCCTCCCATTTTTCCATTTTTGAACAATCTTGACCTACCTAGCCGCGGCGCTTGGTCCAATTCATTTGGTGTTGATGTGAGATCCAAACAAAACAAAAACAGATATATTTGTAAAGGAATTGAGTCTTTGCCACAAACTCAAATCTTCTAATTCCTTTATCTTTGCAATCTGGTGGTGTAAACCTTTTATATTTCGAACTTAGATTATTTGAGCTTACGGAATTCATAGTTTGAAATATCTAAGCTCTGCAATATTGGGTTGCAAAGATATTGTGATTAGAAGATTAGAGTTTGTGGCAAAGGCTCAATTCCTTTCTGTAAAACTTTTACTCTGACAAAATATATTTACAAACACGATTAAGTAAAATCGTTTTTCTTTTTCGTTCTGGTTAATATCTTTGAGTAGAGAAACAAATTCACACAAAGAAATAAAAGAAAACTTAAGAGAATACAATTTTGCAATTTAATCAATAATTCTCATTTTTGTGAAACACTTTTAACTTAAAAAACCTTAGATGTCTGAAAACGGATATGAAAAAGATGGTAATCAGTAAGTTATATTCTAGGGTTTATTTCTAAAAGTAAAAACTAATAGTGTTAAACATGACAAGATAATATGTCCGTATTATTGTCCTGTTAAATTGTTTTGTTCTGAACCGGCCGAAGGTCTGAGATTTATAGTTGTACCGGATCGACTTCAAGACTTCCGCCAGGAGCAGAGCGGGGGNGGACATATATCCGTCGGAAAGTATAAGGAGGGAAATCCATCCCTCAGTCTTCGTGTATCATCGTCAACAGAACACAAACAACACAGTACCGTACAATACATCACCGTACAATACATCACCGTACAATACTTGCCGTGTACAGTGTACAGTTGGCATTGTAGATCTCTAGAACTTCACAAAATCTCAGACATAATAGTCGATCAGATAGTTCGATTATCCAATTCAACGGTTCAGTAGAAACAGTGTGAAATTAAAGTGAACAATAATGTTTCTGAAATAAAATAAAGTTGAGGTTGAGTTGAAGAAAAGAGAATTCCCAACCGTGCCAAAATGATGATTCGTATCACTTGTTTATTATTCCTCGTACATCTATTAACAGGTTGGAATATTATTTCCTTAAAAAGATGCAAAAATTTTAATGATTCTAACAATTCCCAATCAGTTCCATTGAAATTTCCCCCTTTCTTCTCCTTCTCCTTTTCCCCACTCTATTCCTTTCCCTTTCCCTTCTCCATTTTCCCTTGCCTCTTCCTTTCCCATTTTTTAATTTTCCTTCTTTATTCAACATTTCTAAAATATATAATTTTTTATTAAAAATACAAAAATGCGCATCATCTTCAATTTCAATAAAAGTTCCACTTATTTCCCCTACCCCTCATTCATAATTTTCCCCTTCTCTCCCCTTTCCCCTATACTTCTCCCTATTCCCCAAGCCCCTGTTTTCCTATTTTTATATCTTTTTTACCTGACTATTATGTTCCCCGTTATTCCCAGGAGTAATATTGGGAAGGGGTTCAGATAAAGATTATTAAAATTCAACATATTTTACATTCTGAGGTTAGTTTCCAATACCTGCTTCCCTTCTTCTCAATTCTTATGTATTCTTCTTCAATCACTTTTTATTTCTTCCTTTCCCTTCTCCATTCTCTTTGTATTTCTTTCCTTTCCCTTCACCATTCTCTTCTCACTCCTTTCTTACCTTTCCTTTCTCCTCTCATTACTTCCTTTCCCTCCCCCATTCTCTTCTCCGTCTCTCCTTTTTAATTCTATTCTCATTATTCTCTTTCCCTTCTCCATTCTCTTCTCCCTTCTCTTTTCTCCTCATATTCTTTCCTTTCCCGTTCTCCATTCTCTTCTCCCTTCTCCATTCTCTTCGTATTCTTTCCTTTCCCATTCTCCATTCTCTTATCATCCTTTGTTTAGTTGTAAATACTTTATATTAGATCTGAAATGGAATTATTGTAAAACTTACGAAGAAGTATTGATGGCGAAAGAACAAACAATTTAAGTTGAATATGTATAGGCCTATGGTTACCAAAAATATCTTTCCATTAGACATAAACAACTTTGTAGGAATCATAAATGGATTTTCAAAATTATAATCAAATAGTTTCGCCACACAATATATCTAATATTTGAATTTACTTAAATAATAAAATGGAAAGTAATAAAGAAATTTATCCAAATAAGCAAATATAAAATTTGCATTTTTTAGCAAAGTTATACGGATTAGATTGCATGTAGCTAAACTTGAAAATATTGAATAAACTTACAGCATAAAATCAAAACAATAGAATATTGGAATTGCATACTTTTCCTTTATTGTTTTTTTCGTAGTTGATTCTAATATTTATTCACGGTGAAGATATTTATAAAATAGATAATAAGATAGTGAACAAATTAGGATTAGTTTAGAATTCTCAAATAGGGGAAACGTCTGATATTTCCGAAATTAAAATAAAACTGGAAAAAAATCTTAAACATATTAAGAAGCACAATTGTCTAAATTTCCTAAATTTTATAATTATTGTGGATTTATAACTTTTTCAGAAGAATACGGCAACGGCTGCAATTTTAACTGCTATTTTATTATTTCAGTCTAATATTTTTATTTCAAAGTTACACAATTAGAATTTTTTTTAAAAAGATGTTGAATATTTTTGATCTCTTGGGAGATTTAATTTAAATAATCCCCTTCTACCAGTTCTCCTTTCTAACCTCTAAACCATCCTAATGGTCCTCACTTGTCAATTTGAATAAATTAATTACAATGTCAACTACACATTCCAACCCGGTAGTGTGGACGTATGTGGAGTGTGGAGTGGGAGTTGGGGGAGGGTAGAGGGGAGGTGAGGGGATGGTAGAAGAGTGTTGCACAATTATTATTCTACGGTCCAAATGTTTTGTTAATGTCGTTGTATAGGAAATATATGATTAGAACAAAACAAGAGAATACAGGGTGTTTATTCTACATTCATTAATCAATTACAATAATATAATCATACAGGATGTTTAAAATAGTTAGAAAATACTATAGAGCGTTTTTTCTATTTTTATACATAAATAATGAACTCATATAGGGTGTTAAGATGTTATTATCAAAAATTATTATTTATATAAAAATGATATTTTTTTATATTTTGCATGTTTAAAATCAACCCAAGAAATGTAAGCCTTACAGAAAAAAATGTGTTGATTCGGAACTTGAATTCATGAAATGAATTACAATTTGGTTTTATTTGTATTCCTTCATAATCATAAATCTCTTATTTATGGTTAAATTTATATATTCTCGCTGTTTTTATTTTCATAACAGCGTTTTTGAACAAACTTTTGATAACGAAACTCCGAATTTATCTAAAAATTTAAAGATTTGATTTGAACCAAAAAGTATAAAGAGAAGAAAAATATAAGATAACTTTTATATAATAAATAATAAAAGGTGTGATGTTTCCTTGTAAAATACAGTAGAGTTTATTATAAGATGAATTATATAAGATCTTCTCAAACTGTTTTATGTCAAACATTTTTGACATTTGTATTACCTCTCAAGAATTACACCCCTTCCCACTAACTCCCTAATATACACCCCCCCCATCCACCCCCCTTCTTAGCACATACTTTAACTCCAACACCCTTTACCATTATCATTGTCACATCAAAGTATATCCTGTAACTAGGAGTTCTCTAATAAACTCCTATATATCTATGTATACCCTGTAACTAGGAGTTATCTAATAAACTCCTATATATCTAGGTATATTCTGTACCTAGGAGTTATCTAATAAACTCCTATATATCCAGGTATATCCTGTAACCTGGAGTTCTCTAATAAACTCCTATATATCTAGGTATATCCTGTAACTAGGAGTTCTTTAATAAACTCCTACATATCTAGGTATATCATGTAACTAGGAGTTCTCTAATAGACTCCTATATATCTAGGTATATCTGGTAATCAAGAGTTCTCTAATAAACTCCTATATATCCAGGTATATCCTGTAACTAGGAGTTCTTTAATAAACTCCTATATATCCAGGTATATCCTGTAATCTGGAGTTATCTAATAAACTCCTATATATCCAGGTATATCCTATAATCGAGAGTTCTCTAATAAACTCCTACATATCTAGGTATATCCTGTAACTAGGAGTTCTCTAATAGACTCCTATATATCTAGGTATATTCTGTACCTAGGAGTTCTCTAATAAACTCCTTTATATCTAGGTATATCCTGTAACTAGGAGTTCTCTAATAAACTCCTATATATCCAGGTATATCCTGTAACCTAGAGTTATCTAATAAACTCCAATATATCTAGGTATATTCTGTACCTAGGAGTTCTCTAATTAACTCCTATATATCCAGGTATATCCTGTAACTAGAAGTTATCTAATAAACTCCTATATATCCAGGTATATCCTGTAACCTAGAGTTATCTAATAAACTCCTATATATCTAGGTATATTCTGTACCTAGGAGTTCTCTAATAAACTCCTATATATCTAGGTATATCCTGTAACTAGGAGTTCTCTAATAAACTCCGATATATCCAGGTATATCCTGTAAATAGGAGTTCTCTAATAAACTCCTATATATCCAGGTATATCCTGTAACTAGGAGTTCTCTAATTTAACTCCTATATATCTAGGTATACCCTATAACTAGGAGTTCTCTAATAAACTCCAATATATCTAGGTATATCCATGGTAACCTGGAGTTTTCTAATAAACTCCTATATATCTAGGTATATCCTGTAATCAAGAGTTCTCTAATAAACTCTTATATATCTAGGTATATCCTGTAATCAAGAGTTCTCTACTGAACCTGCGAATGTTGAAGTTACTCCTGGACATAATACAACTCTAGACTGTACAATCAGTAATCTAAAGGGACAGTGCAGGTGGCAGAAGGATGGCAAGGTTAGTCTATTTTTATTATATCGTGCACATGACACCTTAATATCTGTACAGTGATAACCAATACAAATTTTATTGATTTTCGTCTTTGCTCTTTCATTAGTTCTAAATACAGCTAGGGATTTTGTATTTTTGAATTTGATCCTGTAAGATCAAATTAAAAATCAGAAAGGATTTCTTTGTTACTGGGTTTGCACAATTCTCCCCTCCTTTATCCTATTAGTAAGTGCCTTAAAACAATTTAAGGCCCATTTTCGAAGAATTGTTACAAATTACAAAATCCTTCGCAGTATTGCCGATTTAAAGAAAAAGCGAAGACGGCGATCATTTCACTGCTAGATTTTAATGAGCAACCTATGGTTGTTGTATACACCCTGCCCCTCCCCCCCCCCTTAGTCGAAATTGTGGATTTTTTTACAGAACTTTTTTTTAAAACTTCTCTTTTTATAATTTGCCCGCCGTTCCACCTCTCCCCCCCTCATATAATTTATACATTATATTTTTGATCAGTATTTAATTAATAATATTCGGTTAATCAATGAAGGTCTAGAATATATTCATACAACGGAATAAATATAGGGCACAAGATAAAAGCATAAACTATAAATACCTCTTCTATAAAGTTTGCTGATCAATCTAAAGAATTAAATCAATTATACCATACGGCCGGAGAACCAAATATTTCTATCAATTTATGCATAAAAAGTTTAAACAAAAATTGTAAAAAAACAGAAAGATTCTTTACGAGGGTATGCTTTTAATAATTTCTCAATAAACGCAAAATATAAGACATTACTGGGTTTCACAACACAAAGAGGATGAGACTGTAATGACAACCTAAAACTCTTTTAATAAACGAATTTGAAGGTTTGATTTAGGTCTCTGCTATACTTTCACTGGCATTTTTTTATACTTTCACTTGAACCATGAAAGTAAGAATATAGGACTAAAAAAAATTCCGTACAGTCGACTCTAGAGTCTCTTCCTTTGAGGGTTACCCTGTAGGTTTACAGGGTTGTTATTGAGATAACTACAATATAAATATTTGCAGATTTTCTTGCGTTCAATGGTGGATTTTTAAAAAAATTAAAATTTTTATGAAGAATGTAGTCTTTATTTCGATCAGTCAGGAATCGGGGTAATATAAGTTACTGCAACCAAACACCCAGACGTAAATCCGTTTTTTTAGTTTAAAGGGACCGTTCACCCCTCGACTATATATTAAAGGAATATTTACCCCTCATACTACATATTTCTACGGAAGACATTAATCCTTTATTAGAAAACAATTAGACCATAAAATCCTTGTGAATGCACTCAACTTCCTTTTCTCTATCTATCTATCTTTTTTTCTATCTATCTGTCCATCTATATATTTCGCGATCCATCGATCTATCTTTCCATCTATCTGTATTTTTTTTATCTAAGGCCTTTTTCTGTCAATTTGTAAATGTCAGATGTATTTCCGGCCATTTAAATAGGCTTAAATCGTAACATTGTTCAACGGTGTAGATAAAAAATCTTGAACGCAAATGATCACGATATCCAATGTGGAGAATTTTAAATTAGAGGATCAATTTATGGTATCCTTGCAGGATATGACCATGATGACGGGATATTTATGAAGAATTAGATTAATCTGTAGATCTGTATAAGAGGAGATCAATATTTAATCCCAAGATTAAGAGGAGATCAATACTTAATCCCGAGATTAAGAGGAGATCAATACTTAATCCCGAGATTAAGAGGAGATCAATACTTAATCCCGAGATTAAGAGGAGATCAATACTTAATCCCGAGATTAAGAGGAGATCAATACTTAATCCCGAGATTAAGAGGAGATCAATACTTAATCCCGAGGAGATCAATACTTAATCCCGAGATTAAGAGGAGATCAATACTTAATTCCGAGATTCATAACACAAAACTTCAGATCTTTTCAATTAACTAACGCTAGTTAACGTTAGAATAAACTATTAACTCAAATTACTTGTTAACTATTATTTACATTTTAGATTTGGTCAAAAAGAAATAAGAAGCTTAGATTTTTTCCATTTATCTTTATGTATTTGTGTATACCAATTTTTAAAATCTAAAGACTTTTTTTAGGTTGGAATTCATCTCACATATACTATATAAACATTAAATATGATTCATACGTTCTAGTTTTCATGTCTTATTCAATCCTTGGAACAGTATTGCAACTTCATCTCATTATCCTAGTTTAAAGCCGGATATCCGCAGGGCTTCAGGCAATGTACTTAACCAGACAAATTTATGCACAATGATACATGTATGCAACACTGGAATTCTTTTATATCTTGATTACTGATTATCATACGACTAAGATCATGGACTAAATTTAACCCTATTCCTGCTGGGGGGGGGGTCAATTTGACCCCCCCCCCCTATAGTTTTTTTTACATAACTCAAAAAGTATTGGTCTGAGGCTGTTGAAATTTTCTGACTTTTCTTACATACCCATAGCCCTCCCTTTAGGCTTAAAACAGGGCTTTAATACTAACTGCCTGAGTTCTCAGGCACACTGCCTGAATGACTGCTTTTTCCTGTTACAAACTAAATCTTTGTTTTGACCCACTTTCACTTGTCAGATTTTGATAAAATTTAGCTTTTTGGAAAGCCTTTGACAAAAGGAAACAAATTGCACAAGTTTTGCGAAAAAAAATTGCAAATTTTTTGCAAACAACCTGTCAAAGGAAATTTGCACATTTTTAGATTTTCTTGATTAAAAATCATGTTATTTAAAATTTTGCAAAAATTTTTGCATATTTGTAATGGCATGGTCAAGGGCTTTTCAAAAATGCATAATTTTTCATTTTTTTGACAATTTTTTTTTGCACACATTTTTACTATATAACTGGATTTTGCGATAAAAAATTCAATTTTTGCAAATTTGCAAATTTTTTTGCAGATTCTAAAAGTAGAGAACAAGAGCTTTCTAATGATGTATCATTTGTCATATAAGGACATCAAACATGGGATTTAGAGGGGGGGGGCAAATTGACCCCCCCCAGCGTATCCTGGTTTTCAAGTACCCCAGCAGAGATAGGGTTAATAAATAGTTGAACCATGTAGTGGCGGTTCAACCACTTCTTTTTTGCGCCGGTTTAAGTAGAAGAGAACTGGTTCAATTTATATACAATATTACACGTCAAACTAAAGTACATTTATGTAAAATTTAAATCTTTCATATTTCCTATCTTAACTTCTTAAATTGAAAATTATTGAAAGCTATTGAGAAGAACAAAAATGTTTTGAATTAAAGTACATAATATGTAAAATTGAAATCTTACATGTTTTCAATTTTAACTTTTTAAATTGAAAATTATTGAGAGCTATTGAGAAGAACAAAAATGTTTTGAATTTCAAATATGTAAATTTGCTTTTTTGATACTTGTGCATAACATGAAAACTAGAGGAGCTACGAGGTCACACATGTCGCAGTACACACATAGACATATATTAAACTGTATTCTAGCCTGTTGGAATGTTCCCTGGTAAATATGAGATGAGAAGAGAAGGGGAGGGAGAAGGAGACTGTTCACTTTCTGTACTCAATGTTGATCTCAAGTTTGATGATGGACTATGGGAATGTCAGGTATTAACATTATAATTATATATTATTATTATTATTATTATTATTATTGTTATTATTATTATTATTATTATTATTATTATTATTATTATCATTATTATTATTATCATTATTATTATTATTATTAGTATTATTCCTAGGTGACCTCCAGTAGTTTCCAGGCTCAGGATTCTCTTGTGTCGAGGAAAGCTCGTCTGACCGTCAGAGGTAAGAAGATTGTACAGTGTACAATGTACAGCGTAAATTGTACACTGTACAGAGTAGAATGTACAGTGTACAGTGTACATGATAAAATGTAAATGTCCGTGCTTAACAAGTCCCTTGAGTACCTGGAATTAACAAAATAATGTAAAATGTCTGCTTATGGTCCTATCTTGTGTTGTGTTAAAAAGAATAGGTTTGAACATATAAAAATCTAAAACAAAAATAGTAGTTTATAAAACAGTCAGGAATTATTTTATTTTGCAACTAAATAGATCAATATTATTGTAGTGGATTTAGATGTAAAATTTAGTGACGACATACTTGCTGAAATGTATAATTGTAAGTTTTGGAAGACTATAAAAGGCAAATTCAAACATTTTTACCTTTACCTTATCCCTTCTAAATATTTATACTTTAATACATGAGTTACAGTGCAACCCATGAACATGCAAAATTGAAACAATTCATTGAAAAAAATAGAAGAAATAGTTTATCATTAGCTTGAAAATTAAGTTATTGCGCGCTGTGAATTATGTTAATTGGAATATTTAAAATCTATAATTTGAATCTTCCAGTCGTCTTCCTATTCCTCAAATAATGGGTGTCACTTTCATTTGAGAGGGGGGGGGGGTGAGATTTTGAAAAAAATCAAAAATTCTAAGAACTGCAGAGTAATTTCAGTTCCTCCTGAGATGATAACCATCCAGTACTCTGGGAGCAGTGTAGTGGAGGGGGGCATCATCACCCTGGTGGAGGACAAGCAGGAGAACATCGTCTGCATCACAAGGTACATATTCATATCTATCTATCTATATATCTCTCTATCTATCTGTCTATCTATATATCTATCTATCTATCTATCTATCTATCTATCTATCTATCTATCTATCTATCTATCTATCTATCTATATATCTATCGTTCTATCTATCTATCTATCTATCTATCTATCTATCTATCTATCTATCTATCTATCTATCTATCTATCTATCTATCTATCTATCTATCTATATATCTATCGTTCTATCTATCTATCTATATTTCTATATTTCTATATGTCTATCTATCTATCTATCTATTTATCTATTTATCTATTTATCTATTTATCTATTTATCTATCCATATATTTATCTATTTCTCAACCTGTCGGTTAGATCACAAGACAAAGAGGACATTTTATTTAAATTTCTGAAAAATTCTGTATAAAAACGAAACATGAATATTTTATCAGGATCTAGCAAAACTTGATTTACAAAATACATGAAACTGTTTTTACAGCTTGGATTGGTGTAGGTTAGAAAACTGTGCAATGCTCCGCTGCTTCGAAAAATTAAATTTTATTATTTCACGCGTTCTTATTCGTTGGTTTTATGATTTTTATGATTTTAATCAGAGTAAAAAATTAAATAAATAATAATTTCACTTGTTCAATAAAAGAAATACAATTTCTAGCAGAAGAAAAATTTTCTTTTATTTTCTTGAAATTATTTTATGAAATGTTGTCAGATTCAGCAACCCTGCTCCAATTATATCCTGGAGACTTGGAGGCAATATTTACCCTTCAATTTCACAGGTAGAACCTACAGCCACAGTGTGTCTTAAAAATACAAATATATTTGAAACAAATTATAAAAGTTGGATTTTAATAGATATTTAGTAAAGAATTATTTTATCTGATATTTTAAATTCAGAAAATGATTAAGTTTCATTTTTTATTTTTAATTAATCTCTTTGATATGAAATCTGTTTAACCACTAAAACATAGACATGTAATAAGGTTTAACTTGTTTTTTAATATCTTTATTCTTATTTTAGTTTTTAACAATATATATAGATTAAATAAATGATGGTCAAAGTAATTAAACAGGTTGCTCTCAAGGGGAAACTTCTAGATTGAAAAATATCATTAAAGCCTAAGAAGTTGATATATATGTAGCTTAAATCCTTCTCAGAGAAAACCCTAAATGTAAATGATGATTTTGGAAATTTTTGCCAAATATGAAATCTGAAAATCTCTGTAGTTGGGTTCAATCAAATATAAAGCAATATTTGGTCGATTACACTAAATATATTTGTTTTTAACGATTGAAAAATCAATTTGATTTATCTGAAAAAAAAAACCTTTTAAGGAAAATTTTACCGAAGCTGTTCCGAGTAAATTTCGGAGTGAAGGAACGCTAGCCCTAGCTTTTACACAGAAAAATCAGGTTAAATAACATTTTAAAAAACTAGAAAATTTTTTTAAATATATCTATCCAATTTTGATTCTCTGTATTTAGGGCGAGAGACTAGAATGTGTTGTTAGCCATCCTGCATATCTGGAGGGGGATGGGTCAACACATGTAGAAATAGACGTTCTATGTAAGTTTTAATTAAATATTGTATATTTCGCATTATTAATAAATAAGATTAGGAGGCGGAAATATTTGAAATATATTGAAATATTTTATTTAGATAAACCGCGCGTTGAAATTACTCGTGTCTCAAATTCCGTGGTGGAGGAAGGTATTGGAAGCGTAGCGTTGACCTGCTCAGCTGTTGGTAACCCTCCTCCTAGGGTTCTATGGACCAGGTAAACCAGAAGAATATCCACAATGTAAACTTTTAAACTGTAGAATTTAAGTTTATTTCCTAAATGTATGGGCAATCCACCATGAGCTAATTCATGAAGGCTGAAAGACAGAAAACATAATGTAAAATACAAAAGGTTTTATTTCTGCTGATATTTTTACTTTTACACATTTTCAATTTTCATTTTTGATTTGTGTTTGGCACTTAAAGCTTTTTATTGCAGTCACAATAGTCATTAATGTAATATAATCGGCCGTATAACTATTACATCATTGGTTCAGACTATAGTTTACAGAATACAGATTTAAGATTAATATTTTCAAGGTTTGGTGAGGATACACCACAATATGTGGAGACCATAGAATTCAACCCGGTTACCCGACAAAACGCAGGTAATTTTATCATTTGGTTAATTTGGTTTAAATTTAAATTCCAAGATTGAACTATTTGATAAAATAATAAAATGTTTAGGTTCATACATTTGTTCAGCCGAAAATACAATTGGTAAATCTAATCAGGAAACTACACAAGTTGATGTTCTATGTAAGTATAAACTTTTAAATATTAAAAAATTACAATAATTTTTTATTTAATTTAATTTTTTTGTTTATTTAAAAATTTTCTATTTGTCTCTATTTGTTATATTTGATTTTTTTCTTTATTTTATTTTATTTTTTTGTTTAATTAAATTTTTTATTTGTCTAGATGCTCCTGAAATAGTATCCTTAAGCCCTCGTGAAACTGTGCTAGTGATGGCTAGAAACCAGACTAAGTTGACCTGCACTGCTAGCGGTAACCCGGAGCCAAAATATCAGTGGCTTCAGCTACAGCAGTCCCAGGTTAACACTTACAAAAATAACCCAAAGCTTTAATTATTAATTTTGATTTGTTTAGGTTGTAAAAAAACGATCTGTAACCCCCGACCTCATTCTTGATGATGTAAACTACGAGGACCAAGGGGAGTATGTTTGCGAGGCCGTTAATATGATCGGAGGTGAGAAGAGGGTTGTGAGGAGCGAGGTTGTTAAGGTGGAGGTTGAAGGTGTTCCCTTGGTAACGAGGATGGTGAATGAGGTTGTAGCAGTGAGTGGACGTGATGTGAGGCTAGAGGCTGAATTCTGTTCTGATCCTCTACCTCTAAGAAATACCTGGGAGTGGGAGGATATTAGTCTACCAGCAGGTTCAATATTTACAAATATTTATCAATTTTTTAACATTTCCAACATTTTTATATTATTACTTTCTTAGGCACTGAAATAGAGAGAAGTGGAACTAAGTATTCCGCTGAACTAGAGGAACATCCCAGTAATAAGGATTGTTATATATCCAGGTAAAGGAATTGAGTATTCTCCACAAACTCCGATTTCATAACCCCTATATCTATGTCAACACAATGTCGTGGACCTTAGATATTTCAAACTATGAAATCTGCAAGATTAAACAATCCATGTTTGTAATATTAAAGTTTTACACCATCAGGTTGAAAGAAACGGGGATTAGAAAAATTGAGTTTGTGACAAAGACTCAATTTTTTATTGAAAAATCTGTCAACTGACTTCTGATACATTTTCGCGGTTGTTTTCCAGGGGACAAAACTTATAGTTGGGAAAGCGATCAGCCACATCGGCTAAACTCTAAATCCACAGATTTGATTTAAGTTTATTTCCAAGGATATACAGGAATTCTACTAAATTCTACTAAAACATGGTTCAGAGAAAGAGGTGGCGTTGTCTGAAACGACTTATATTAAACCCGACTGAACGCGGTGTGAACAAATTTAAAATACAAAAATGTTGACCTCAGACGGTTTTGAAGAATTCTTCAATAAAGGAAACATGTTTAATTGAACAAATCCTAAATATTTCGTCAGGTTGACCCTGAAGGGTGTTGGACAAGCTGATAGTCGCAGCTATACCTTAAACGTAGAGAATATGCATGGAACTGATCTAGCGCCGGTCAAACTAGCTGTAAGAGGTAAACTTTTATATCTAGTTCCACCTACTTTACCTGGATTAATCTATTTCATCTGTGTTCCATGTGTTAAATTCTAATTTCAAGGATTTTATCAAATTTGAAGTTTCGGAAAGAAAAATCTAATTGTTTAACTCTCTTTATGGCGGAGAAAAGTTGGGTTTGGATTTTTGTTGAAATGTTTGTTGCGAGTTCACAAATTATTCAAAATTTGCAGAATATTTAACTTATTTAGAATATTTAGAATTAGAATTAATTAGATACCATTTTAGATATTAGAACCTATTAGAAACTTTTAGAACCCTTTTAATTAATAAAAATATTATTTTGAACAGAAGAGCACAGAGCTGGTAATTATTTTGCATGAATTCTTGACTGTTTTATTCAAAATTGTATTCATATATCAGAGAATCAACAACTTTTACTTTGAATACAATTTTAAATGCATGTGACCTATTTAAACTGGTTTCATTGACCATATGTCAGTGTGGTTTTTATGAAAAGGAAATATTTTTTTTTATATTTTAAGCAATAACTTTGTCTTATGCATGCTACATTGTTTCAAGGGATGAGATAAGAAGGGTGTGTGGGCTAATAAAGGGGATATAAGAAATTAATTTCTTGTTTTCTAAACATTAGAGATGAAAACAATTCTACAGATGATCATCAAATAAAAAGATATGTTTAGAACAACACAAAATCCTTTATATTATACTATACAAGACTCCAATGTTAACGAAAAAGAGTGTTTTATCTAGAGGCACATTTTATTAGGCTATTTGGATTCCTTTTAATATTAAAAGAACACAAAAATGAATCCAACAATTTTCAATACGAAAAATGAAGAAAGAAAGGGAAAAAAATGATTAAAAGATTGAAAGAAGAGAAAGTAGCGAAGATAAAAAATATGATAAAACGGGGAAAGGAAAAAAAATATGATGAAACGGGGAATAGGGAAAAAAATATGATGAAACGGGGAAAAGGAAAAAAATATAATGAAACGGGGAAAAGGAAAAAAATGAAATGAAACGGGGAAAAGGAAAAAATGTGATGAAACGGGGAAAGGAAAAAAAATATGATGAAACGGGGAAAAGGAAAAAAAATATAATGAAACGGGGAAAAGGAAAAAAAATATGATGAAACTTTGAAAAGGAAAAAAAGGGGTTAGTTTGTAAATCTCCAAATATGTATTAACTATGCATACTGGAAATGCATCGATAAAATGTTAACTGTGCATCATTCGATAGAATACCTATCGGGGAAATTCTTCAAAATGTTTTGAATATTTGCTTTTCTTTATTTTCTATTTTTTATTTATTTTATCTTTATTTTAGATCCTGTATCTATGGCATCAGTTATCGGTGTAGTGATTGCTCTCCTAATCATCTTTGTCCTGTTATCGATCATATTATTGGTCGCGTACAAGAAACAGAAACTTTGCTTTAAAGGTAAATATTCTTTTTCTCGGATTAATCCAAACATTTTTAATGCAATCTAACACTTTTGAATATAATTAGGTTCCGAAGTTTAAATCTTTCAGTTTGTTTTTGAATGTTGAGGTCTTAACTTTTGTATTCTTAGTTCTTTTAGAAACCATAATCAATGTATCAATTTAGTTAATTAAGTTAAGTATTAAGTTAATTCCTCCTGGATTAATCGTTTTAAGTCAAACATGTTCACAGTGGATATCGGATTCTGTAAAGTAGCGCATAAGTTTAGACTTTTGATCATGTTTTTGAAAAATTTTTGAGTTGCAGTTACGATTGATATTTTAAAACCCCTCGATCTATGAAATTAATCACAGAGAGGCCGAATTTAAAGAATATGAGCCGTGGCTTAAATTTGAGAAGCAGCTCAAATATGGTTGGTTCCACTTAAAATTGTATTCAGTGTTTCAAGATTCAAGCCGCGGCCCTCAATTAAGGCCGGTTTTTGGTGGATTTGACACGCGACTCAAATTCATTAAATTCGAACTTAGTCCTTTTAACAATTAAAGAATAATTAGGTAAAGCTTGGAATTAGTTTTTTATCTTGGTTTAATTTATCCTAATTCCTGTAAGATATGAATCTGCAAACATGCAATAAGTTGATTAGCTTAACTTAACCAGATTTTAAACCAGTGATGGTGGGAGGGGGGGGGGATATTGCAATTTATAAATAAAATAATGTTTTTGTTTCTTTGCTTTGAATGGTTGCTACATGTCTTGATTTAAAAGAAAGGGGAACAAACTGTTGTTTTTAACTAAGGAACCAGGGGGAAATCAAGAGGAAAGGGGGATTTCGAGAAGGGGAGGGGGGATTGGAGGAGGGGGGGGATTGAAGGGGAGAACATGAAAATATTATTTATCTGGGTCATTTTAATACAGGGGAGAATAGAGTGACGATCATGCAATTAAATGTCTGGTTTACTTTCAACAAGAAATATTAAAATCACGAACAAATATTTTTAAAAAAGATATTTTAAATCATATTTATTTGAATATGGAATGCCGGTTTATCAAAGCAAGTGGGGAAATGATATCAGTTTAAGATAACCTTCGAGATAGAGATAGATAGAGCGGTTTTAACTTTATCAATTCGGAAACTTCAAAAATATTTAAGTTTCAAGAATTATTTGAAAAAAAGAAAAATTCTACTTTATGACCCATTTATACTCTCACGATATTGCAACACAAACTTTTAATAAAAATTAGATTCATGAAAAATCGGTAAAGTGTCTGGCACTGTACATTGTACTGGTAGTTCTACATCTTTTTAACCTGATGATGTAAACCTTTAATATTTCAAACTTAGATTTTTTGGTATATTCAATGTTTGAAATATTCTAGGTCTACGAAATTGTGTTGCAAAGATATAGTGATTAGGACCTATATAATGAAGCAATGTTTTTTTCACGTCACATTGGATATATTTTTTAAATCGAAATCTAACTTATTTGTACAATTCATTGCTTTATTGACTTTGCTCTGTAATCTGGGATCAACTCAATAGATATTAATTGAAACCAAATCTGAAATTTGAATGCGAAGGAAATATTTTTTTCAAATATATAAAAATGAATTAGAATCATCCCTTAAATTCTGGGAAACTTAGCTCAACCGCAGTAGATTAACTAATCTCTGATTTCTATACCGCAGTAGATTAACTAATCTCTGATTTCTATAAAAGATTGAATGCTAACCCACATTTTTTTTTACATTTTTCGATTTACTTATGGAGTTAAAGCCATGAGGTTTAACTCTATCACAATTTAATAAAGAAATTGATTTCTCGCCTCAAACTCAAACATTCTAATCCAGTTATTTTTGCAACTTGATGGCTAATGATATTTAAAACTGAAATATCAAAAATCTTTATCCTTTATATTGAAGTTTAAGACGAGTAATTAGTTACTTTGATCCATATAACTCAACAATCTCAAACTTACCAAGTTTTTTTTCATTTACAATTTTTCATTGAAAACGTATTATGCCGACAAAAAGTATAAAAGAGAAAAAGAGCAAAATCTATGTAAAATTTATGTAAAATTTATGTAAAATTTATGTAAAATTTATGTAAAATTTATGTAAAATTGCGATTAAAAGTTATAGGTTCCTGGTATATGAACCGAACTGTAAAGTTCCACGTGATCTGTAAAAAAGTTTCTTAACTAAATCTAACCCAACCCTTGGTTTTCTAGTTGGTCAGACTATAATTTATCCTATCCACGGTTAGCGAAGGTAGACCGGGTATAGTCTAGGGCATCTCTTTATTCATCAACTAATTAATCAATATTTATATTTTTTATTATATCAGAGAATTTAAAGATGCCCTTAAATGCTTCATCTAAATATTCCTAAAAGCCTGATTTTAAAATTAAACAATTAAAAATAACTTATTATTATCGTCAAACTCTAATAAAATATTTCGTAGATCTTTGCAATCTAAAGGTGTTAACCTTTGTTGTTATAAACTTTCACTAATTGCTCTAGATTAGAACACCAGGTTGCAAAGATAAGAGGACTATGAAATCAGAGTTCTAAGGGAGTTCAAGTGACATTCCACGCATAAATAACAACGGTACCCTTAAACCCTTAATCTGATTGAAAATGTGGAAGATTAACAAAAATGCGCTAGTCACTTTTGTAGATTGGTTCCGCCAATGAAAATAAACCTTTCAAGGGTACCGTTGGAAATCGGATTAACATCTTTGCATGAAGGGTCACTTGAAATTACGCTTACAGTCAGTGCCCTGGAGAGTAATCCCCTCAGTTGCTCTTATCTTCATAAAGAACCCTTTTATTTTGTTAAGCTTACAAACGTAAAGTTGTATTAAGTATATAGCTGTGCTCTTGATAAATGTTTGAATTTTATTGAATTGTAAACCATGTACAATTGTACAGGTAAAGTTGACCCCTATACACCTGCTGTACAAGATGACAAGAATGCAGTTCACCCTCCAGTATAAATCTTAGATCCTTTATTCTTAATCTTATTCTTTCGATCCTACATTCTTAATCCTAGATTCTTTGATCCTAAATTCTTTGTCCTAAATTCTTGACCATAGATTCTAGATCCTATATCCTAGATTCTAGATCCCAGATTCTAGATCCTAGATTCTAGATCCTAGATTCTAGATCCTAGATTCTAGATCCTAGATTTTAGATCCTAGATTCTAGATTCTAGATTCTAGATTCTGGATTCTAGATTCTAGATTCTAGATTCTAGATCCTATATCCTATATCCTATATCCTATATCCGATATCCTATATCCGATATCCTATATCCGATATCCAATATCCTAGATCCGATATCCTAGATCCTAGATTCTAGATCCTAAATCCTAAATTTCAAATCCTAGATCCTAAATTTCAAATCCTAGTTTCCAATACCAGCTTGTTAAATATTTCCATCTCTAAATCTCACTAAATGAAAATCTTCTGGATTCCATATTATAGTAAATAGTAAGTAAGAGTGAAGCTTAATGTCAAAACTTTAGAATGACGTGAATAATTTATTGGTTTTTTTATTTGTTGATTAAAAACATTTTGTCATGCTAAAGATTTAAATAATATATTTAATAAGAATTAAAATTTCAGCAAGAATTATAAACGTCTTTCTAAAGAGAGCTTTAACCACCTTTTTGTTACAAAATTTTTATTCATTCCTCACAAATAATTTTTTGTTTTGTTTTTTATTTCTCTTCGCACATATAACACGTTTTTGCTAATAACACTGTATTTACAATACTTACTGATATATTCTTATAAATGTTTTTAAAAATTAGTTTAAAACTTTGATCTATTTGCAATCTACATATCTCCATATTTATGAACTATTTCGGTATTTAACTCTATAGTTCTTTATTATATTTATCCATCAATCCATCATTCCATTTATTAATCTATCGATCTATTAATCTATCAATCTATCGATCTGTCTTTTACCTTTTTATATTTAGGGTAAAATAATTCTAAAGATAAAAATTTTTAACAAAAAAACTCTTTTAAAGTTTTAATTTTTATACAATTTCCTATTGTTTTCGTATCTGTATTTTTTATTTGTAATCCATACATAATACCAGGCGCTCTGGAAACCTGAAAAACACTAAATCACGAAACTGGGTGATTTTTCAGAAATTTTTTGCTTAATAATATAAGATGCAATAAAAATCATATTTAAAAATGTATATACAATTTTTTAGCATGGTTTTTCTGAAAGCATTGTTCCAACATACACATATTTATTTAAGGCGACATAAAAATATTATAAATTTATTTAAAGCTGATATTTTCTGGTTTGAATATTTATTCTAAACCCTGAGACCCTAATTCATTTTTTTCAAGGTTCATACTTTTAGTTTGCTTTTTTCACAATGCACAATTTAAAACTTGTTTTCAGGTCAATACTTTCTCTTACAAAGGAAATTGAGTCTATGACAAAAACTCTGATTTTCTCATCCATATATTTTTGTAAACCATGATGTCGTAGGCCTTAGATATTTCAAATAGAGAATTCTGTTAGATAAAATAATCTAAGTTTAAAATATCAAAGGTTTAACCCATCTGGTTGCAAGTATATAGGGATAAGAACATTTTGTTTGACCCAATTCTTTTTATTAAAACAAGTATTCTATTGGTTGGAAAATTAATTAGATCTATTTTTTTCAGATGGGGATCTGGACGCACTTGAGAAATCAAAGTAAGATATTTTATTTTTTATTTTGAATATTTTTTTGTTAAATTTTGTTTATTTTGTTTTATCACTTACTAACAATAGTTTTAATTTTTTGCTTTTCATTTTAGGAGCAACAAGTACTCATCATACAACGGAATAGATGTTAAAGATATTTCTCCCATCAAGGAGAAACAAACAGCATTCCCTCCCAGCACCAAGGTTTAGTTCCGAAAAGCACCGACGGAGGAACTAACTGCAGTTAGTTCTTGATTGCACCGCTACACTTTGACTAGCAGCACTAGTCACTATAGTTCCACAGCTAAATGGTTCACCAGTATACCACTATGTATGTTTCACAAATTCACTTAATAATTTCTTTTTAAAATAATTAAAGGGTTAATGTACCTATTCAAACAAATAACTAATTACTATTGGTTAACACCTTTATTTATTTTAATTAGAATATCGTGCATGCTAATTCATTAGCTACTTCCAGGGGCTTATATAGGATTTTCTGACATTTTTTCTTCTTAAAGGAGAGAGGGGGGGCGGGGGGGGGCTCAGGGAAATCATAGATTTCACTAATTCAGGGGGTGAGCTGAGACTCAATAGCCCCTAAACCCCCTGAAGATACTTATATACTACAATAAGAAGAAATATGACCAAAGGAACTGATTAATCGCCTCAAACTATAATGTCTAATCCTTAATTCTTTCCAACTTGATTTCTATGGATCCTGCTAAATTCGAATGTCAAAATTTTAAATATCAAAGATTTACACCATGAACTCGAGTTCCTAAGAGATAGAGATTAGAAAATTAGAGTTTTTGGTAAAGACTCAATTCCTTTAGAGTGAAATGGGGAGCTTTGAATATTATGAATCCTTCATATTTACCGTGGCCTGAATATAGCTTTATTTTCCCGCTTATTTTTCCATCCCATTTCAATCCGTATTTTTTGTGAAATAAACTTAGTAAATGGCGATAAAAAAAAACATACAACTAGTCACTTTTAAACGATTTGTCATTCCGCAGCAAAATTACCAAAAGTATTAACTGATTAAACTAGGCATGAAAATAAATATATTTCCAAGGGGATTATTTTAAAAATATGCCCTTGGAAGTAAATATTGAACCATAACAAATCTGGTAGAGTGAATCCAACCAGTCAACTGTTAAATATTTATAGAATCCTGACAGTATTATAAACTTCAACTAGATAACTTCAAACTTGAAAGTGCATTAATACAATTAAACAATTAGGAAACTAGACAAACTTGTTAAAGGTGGATTGACAGAAAGTGAGAAAGGGGAAGGGTTGAAAATAACAAAGAAAATGCGCCAAATAGTCTACTGTCTTTTGAATCTGGGAAACATAGTTAATTATAAATTATGTTCTAATCAAAAGAATTAATAATTTCCTCATTCACTGATTTTCTAATGTTGTAGAATTTTGATATTTCAATTTATGAAATTTTGCTAAATCATACTGTTAAAGTTTACACTTAGTTAAGTTTAACATTTAGTTTGTAAGATTTAAAGTGCATGATTATCCCCCCCCCCCCATTATCTTTCTCCGTCTCAAAATGCTAATTTTCTTGATATTTTTCAGAATGGAGATATTGGTGTTCCAATTTATCAGCTTTATGTTCCCTCAAGTTTATCCTCCCTGGCGAGCCATAACTCTACAGCCGGTCAAACCGGTTTAGCCCCAAACCAAACCGGTTATAATCCAAACCAAACCAGTTACAACCCAAACCAAACCGGTTTTAATCCAACTGGTTTGCTCTCTACCCATAATGGGTTCAGTTCTTCTCAAAATATCTTTACTCTTTCGCAAAATGGAATCTCAGGACCGACAAGTTTGTCGATAAAACAAAATGGATATCCATCCTTGCAACCTAAACAAAATGGCGGAGGTCCTCCATCCCTCCAGCCTCGCTCCAACTTCCAAATCTATAATCAGCTCCAATATCCCTCTACCTCCAACTGGGGGAGCATGAAGCGAGGGAAAGGAAACCCTCGCCCCTCTCGTCCCTCATCGGTTCTTCCATCCCCTTCCTCTCTACCTGACCTGAACCAGGACACTGCAGTACAGTACATACCAAACCTTGTACCGGCCAACAACTAACTAGGGCACTGCAGTACAGTACATACCCAACCTCGTACCAGCCAACAAAAAATCAGAATACTGCAGTACATTACATACCCAACCTTGTACCGGCCAACAAATAACCAGCACACTGTAGTACAGTACATACCCAACTATGTACCGGCCAACAAGTATCCAGGTCAATATTCAAATATGATCCAGCAAGACCAAAGTCTTGTAATAATAAATTTTCCATATTTCTAAATATAAATACACCCCTCCGGGCCCCACCGGATGGGAAAAAGACTTAAATCGGAAAATTATCCGTTTTTATTGTACCTTAGAAGTAAATAAACGTAATGAGGAGTGGTACAGTAAGTTTTTTTGTACATAAGCACAATATGTGCTTTAAAGCCAGTTTATTAGATGTACGCCTGTTTTTTTCTCAAAAATTTAGAACCTTTATGTAGTAAAAACTTAATGTCTTGTTTACCCTTCTTTATGTACTGCAAAACATGTACAAAGAAAGCATGTCATACACTCAACCTATTTCTGATGTAGCAGGCAACCGTATACCGCATGTACAATTGTTTGTATGAACTTATTATTGTTGTATTCTTTGCTAAGGTTGAGTGTAAAGTATTCATTCTGTGATAATATTTCAATTTTATATTTATGTATTGTGCAATGTACTGTACTGTTTTGTAAATATAAACATTAGAGGAAGAAGCGGCCATACAAATTATTTTCAAACTTTCGGTAAAAATCGTAATCGTAAAAAACTTTCGTAAATTTTTTTTTTATTTCAGATATGATTGCTAATTTAGGATAATTTTAAAGATTTATTTTTAATTTGTCAGTTCCACCAAACTTGATCAATAATAGATTTAATGAAACAAAACTCAATTCAACATTAACCAATTATTAATGGCTGCTGAAAAACAGCTGATTTGGATTCTAGTCTCTCTGGAAAAATGCTTCTTAACCAGCATTTGAATTATGAATTTATTTGTTTAAAAATAGACTCTTCTAGTTTTAAATGTGCAGATATTGTACAGCAATTAAATGGTCGTAAATAAAATATATAAAATTCAAAAATATTTATTTATCATTTAAAAATATTAGAACCAAGTTAGTTGGGGAAATTTCACGATTAGCTGAGAGTTTAGAACAATTGTTGTGTACAATCTATCAAAACTTTTATATTTGATTTGGTAGGCTTTTTAGAATACATCATTATGCATTATTGGAAAAGATAAAAAAGTTTTAATGACGTCTCAAGAAACTTTTATAAGTTAAAAATTAAAGTTATGTGTTCATTTTGAAAAAACTTCTACGTATATAAAATGACGCATTTAGAAATTACGAGCTTATTGTTGGAAGATGAAAACATGTTTTATGTATTTATAAAAAAACGTCAGATTCAAATCTACACAAAATTCGAAACACTGAGCTATGTTCATCCAAAATTACATTGTGAGATATTTCGAATATTTTTTCTCTAACTCTAACAAAATTCAAAATGCGTTGGGGCACTCGATAGTTCGAACCAAAATGTTATTTTATTTTTTACCATGCACTGTTATTTTTCATGGGTTAATATAGCATTCTGCAGTGTAGGATTCCAAACTATTATTATACAGGGTTACACACAAAGGACGAGCCTTTAATGACAATCTAAAACTCATTTTGGCGAGAAAAAATCAACTTTACAGCTATACTGCTACAGGGTACCCTAAGTTGATGAAACAATACTAAATACATTTCTTACAATCGTCTCTGAAATCTCATCCTTTGTGGTTAACCCTATATATCTATTGTGTTGTGTGAAGGCCATTCATAAATACTATATAGTAGTTAAACTATAAACAATTTAAACCTCGTGACTAATAGATCATCTCTCAAATAATTGCTAATTATATTTCATCTAATAGTAAGTTAATCCAACCGGAAACAATGATACTAATTAATAGCTTCAGTGTTGAAATATAATGTCATGCACTCCTGCATTATCAAGCATTCTTGCAGTAGGTAATATAACTACACAGAGGCCTACAGGAAAATGATTCATTTTTACTAAAAAATTTAATTTCAATCTTTATGCTTTGTATTTATGGCTTAATGGAACTTAACAATTACCTTAATCTTATATTCTTTGATTCCTGTAAATTTGAAACTTGATGGAGTAAACCTTTGAAATTTCTAACTATCAATTTTGTTAGATCAAACTGTCAAAGTTTGAGATAAAGAAATCCCTCAACTTTAGTGATCCCTGCAGGGTACGACCACCATAGGAAATACGAAAGGAATTAATCTAATCCGTAGAACTGGAAAAGATACGGAACTATTTAACCCCGGAATTAACATCACACAAGTTTTGACCTCTGAACACCTTTAAACACAAACATAAGAGTTTAAGAGTGCAGTGTTCCGTAATTCGTATATATTTAAGTCACAGACTATGCACAGACTGCTTATCTCCTTTCACAGGGTGGGCTACAAAGGCCTAAGTTGACCCGCCACGACATGCTACGTTTTTACGATAGGTTTTAGAGTGCCATCTCACGGCCACTTGTTGAATATAATACCCATTCAGGGGTTAAGTTTTACAACTTTTAAAGAAATACTCCAATTTTAAACATGAGATATAACATTTTTGAATTCAGTTTGAATACAGATGTTTGCTGACTGGTCGTGTACAGTACTTGTATACAATAGAACATGCTGTGGAAAATATTGCATATTTTAGCTGATAATCGATCTCTGTATCTCTCTTATCTCTGATTTAAATAATGCATCGAATAAATACGCACATCTCCACATACATATAATAAATATTTTCAATGCAAAATATTAGTATACATTATATTTATATATATATATATATACTGTACACTGTACAGTCCCAACAAATATCAGTTATAACCTTGCCGTATCAATAGCATGTGCAACACTTCATCTCGGCCAGGGGGAAAATACATTTTTCATAAATACCTTTTCAAAAATTTGTTAAAAATGTGTCAAAATTTGTAAAATAGTGCTTATTCAAACAAATTGAACTGTCAAGGGTAGAATGACAATGTATGCATAGAAGAATCATATATATATAATATAACTACACAACACGTCAAACTAAAGTAAAGTACGATTAAAATCTTGAATGTTTTTCATCTTAACTCCTCTTATTGAAGAGTTATTTAGAAAAACAAAAATGTTTTGAATTTATGATATGTAACCAGATAAATTTGCTTTTCTTAAACACTTATGCTTAAAATCAGAACTAGAAGAGCAACGGAGTCACAAAGTCGTAAGAGCAATGTCAATGAATTTGACCTTCGCCTCCTGGTTAGTTTGCAGTGACAAGTGTACACGAGTGTACAATGTGACTCTATGCAACTTTATTAATTCTTCAGTAATTAAATTAAAGAAGTTATTTTCTGCAGCAAACAATTCAGAATTTACCATTATTGCTTGCAGCCCTTTTCCTTCTTAAAACCCTTTTGTGTGCAACTGTCTGAATTGTGAAGATAAAATAAGGATTAGTCCCAATACTACGTCTTCCTTGATCAAAGAACACTTGTGTGAATCGGACATGCCACTCACATTTGAAAAGAGCTGTTTTTTGTTGGCCTAGCCTGTCATGTTTCTTTTTAAATAATAAAGATATAAATGTAGTTCTTTAAATACCGCCGTGAAGTATACTTAACAAGTACATATTAATTAGCAAGGCATACGCTGCACAATGCATATTACCGACTTCATATTACATATACATATGGAGGTTTAACCTTGCTTTTCTGCGTATTTGCGTGGTTGAAGTGTTAGATTTAAAATGAAAAAGATAAAAATTTCTTCCCGACCTGTTCTTATCTACATTAGTGTTTATAATTGATTGTAGATTTGTATGAAGGTTTACTAAATCAACTATAGTACAATATGCCTGCAGTGGAAAATCGATCTAATATGATTACTAAAAAATATAAATAAAACTAGGCCTTCCCCCTCCTTCTATACTGAGACAGATGGTTTAATGGGATTAACGCCCTTTTAGGGTTTATAATAACCACCAACAAATGGTTAATTGAATAGAGTGAGTACCATTACAAGTTATTATGAAGGCTTCTAAAGATATTCAATATATTATACAGTATACACAATAAAATATATAAGAAATAATAATTGTTTATTCAATTGTTTTAAAAGATTACCAGAAACAGAGTATACCCATTAAGTATCTTTTGCACAGTGCACAGAACTGTGTAATATGGCCTGAAATAAAAAATATCGCCTGTTGACATGTTTCACCCCCCAACCCTATTTCAACGAGCAAATGTCATGCAAGGGAGTTTGATCAAATGCGCGCATGGCAAGATATTCGCCAAAAGTGCAGTGATATATGACTGGAAATTTGAAATTGTGTTGATAACAAAAACATAGTATCCATGATTACTATACGTCACATCAGCTAAATACTATAAAAAGGTTTTAAACCCTTTACATAGTATGCAGACGTAACGTACGGAAGAATAGGACGTCCTTCCTTTAGTGTGACATGAATTTATGCATCAAAGACAAAAATGAAAATTGTCAGAATTCAACACTTTTTATGATAAAAAACGACGATATCTTCCTGTTTATTTTGTGTAGATAAAAGTCTAAATGGTACCGTTGTGAATTGAATATGCGGGGGGGGTGGGGGGGGGGGGGGGTAGGCACTTGAAATTACGTTAACAGATCTCTTTAGGATAAATAATATTTGTATTGCAAAGAATCTATGAGTTATCGTCCAGAGTTTTTTTAATATTCTCTTGAAGTAAGACGTTTCTTTCATGGTTTTTAGATTTACTATTTTTCTCTGGATTCATCTTATTTTTAGCCTGGTTTAAAATATATCTTTGAAATATGTGAAGTAAATAAAGTTCATGGTCGACAGAAGCTGGTAGATTGTTCCGCTCTGTCTCCGATCTTCAACTAAATCAATTCAATGCTATACAGGACAATCACATCTATGTATATTAAGTAGTAATCTCTGTTTTTTTATTATTTGTCCGATCTTAAACTCATGATCATCCCTTTCCCTCTTTACATCAAATTTTGACTGAGGAATTCGGTAGAACCACGGGAATGTTCTTAGCTTAGTTTAAAAGATCAAAGTTAAATATGTTAACTTGAGGTAAAGGGGCGCGAAGCGAACTAGATGCCTAGTATCTTAAAAGGAATTGAGTTTTTGCCACAAACTCAAATATTCTGATCCCAATATCTGTGCAACCAGATGGTGCAAACCTTTGATATTTCAAACTTAGATTATTCTATCTATAAGTATTAATAGTTTGAAATATCTGAGGTCTACGACATTGGGTTGAAAAGATATAGAGAATAGAAAATCAGAGTTTGTGGCAAAAACTCAACTCCTTTGTGCACAATTCACTATGTGCAATTCACTATGTGCTGCACAAAAAAAAAACATTAAAAAAAATATTATTGCAACAATATTTCATGAAATTGCAACTGGTTCATTGGGTTTCCAGTTATTTTTTTACATGCGCACTGAAGTGTATTGGACAAGTGTAGTACAGAAGAACGATACAGTGTAAAATATTAAAAATATAAATTAATGTTCTTAAAGAATTGTAATTTAATTATAATCTACAATTGTTTAGTTTTAAACCTTCTTCATTTCTTTCAACAGAGTGTAGTCCTCCCTCTCTGTTATTTTAACTAAAAGT